TTATATGAATATGGATCTGCTGACTATAATTATTGGTTTTGCTTATTTACTTTTATTTGAGAGGAAAAAAGTCCTCAATGGGACCTGACTTATGGAGACAGGCTTTTTCTTATGTTTCTCCATTCATTTGTCCCACAGTTTTGCTGAAGACCCATATTTAACCCTCATAACTCCAATTCTTAGTACCATAACTTTACAGAAAACCTCCTCAAGTTTTCCTTTTTTACTAGCATCTCTTCAGTAAGAAATCTTTTCATAAGCTTTTCCTGATTCAGAAGTACCATGAATCCCAAGATTCTTTCTGTCCCTTTTAATAACCAACTCTTTCTCTCCTCATCCATAGAGGATCTACATCATCTGCTGTCTAGGCATCCTTTAGTAATTGGACAAACAAAAACAACATTTCTTCAGAGTTGAATTTCCAGGCGGGGAAAAAATCTAAAGAATTCGATGCTGGGGAGGATTGGGGGGGGGGAGGATGGGAAGGGATGGGAAGGGGAAACAAAGGAGGAGGCTACAATGCTTGATAAGAAATGTACTTATTATCTTGCCCATGTAATTGTAACCCCTCTGTACAGTATTTTCACAATAAAAATTAAAATTAAAAAAAAGAATTCGATGCTGTCCAGGGTTGTGGAAAATCAGAAATCAGTGGGTAACACATGCATGAACCTGTGTACCTCCTCCCTCATTCTGAAAACTACTGTCCTCTAGTATGCCTGTGAAACCCTACAAGTCTCAAGCATCCTTCCTTGGTTCTGACCCTTGGTTATGATAGCCACGTACTTATAGATTCACTGGGAAGATGCTGCTTTAAGCACAGAATGGATCAGGGTGGGAAATTGCCCCCTAATTGCATTACATCACTGATACACATTTTGCTGTTTCCACCAACAGATGAGATGACACTTTACTAGATACTGATCAGGAGAAAAGAAGAGTCCCTGCCTCATAATTTAGTAATCTAACAAATTGCAAACAACTACTGCAGTTAAAATCTTCCATCAGCTGTCTTGAACTATTCATCCAAAAAGTGAGAGAAACAAGGAAGAAACAAGTACCACAAGACATGAGAAGAGATTATCAACCCTGTCATGAGCTACGAATATAGTACATAGCATAGAAAAGATGGGAAGGGATATGAAGGGGAAACAAAGGAGGAGGCAACAATGCTTGATAAGAAATGTACTCATTTCCTAACAAATGGGGCAATGTCATTCTTTCTGATGGAGGCATAGAATTCCATTGTGTATATATACCACATTTTCTTGATCCATTCATCTACTGA